TCAGCAATAGATAATCCGATTATTTCAAATGCTCTCATTAGCAAGGTCTGAAATTCTGAGGATGCACAATGGGAAAACCACTTCTCTGCATAATCACATACAGTACCATCTCTATTAAGAGCAACGGAATCTGTGTGAATTTAGCTGCATTTAGGAAAATGTTTCTCTTCCTTTATTTGTCCTTGCATTGTCCCAGAGCTGAAAAATATTTGTCCTTCGTGTTTGTGTTTGGTCCAATAAGTTACCACAAAACTACAGGAGAAATGAAGGTGTACATTTCATTTCACACTGGTGTAGAAACTTGAGGGACCTTCACTTGTGTCAAATGAGACAGTTTTGCTTAACTGCCTCTTACTGAAAAACTCAGACCTAGGGAAATGTTTTGTGTAATTGTGTCCTGTGAACTGCCCTTTTGGGGAGTGGCAGACTGGGGTTTGGGTGTGGGTGGGCTGTGGATCCTAGGGTGAAATAAGTTTCTGTGGGTAGGGGGTAGAATTCTCTGAAATGGAGATTTTTTTACATTAGGGATTAAAGAAAACCCCGTCAGGGGTGCCTGGGTGGCCCAGTCAGTTAAGGGACCAACTCTTGATTTTGGCTCAGGCCATGATCTCAGGGTCCTGAGCTCAAGCCCTGTGTCAGGCTCTGCACTGGGTGTGGAGCCTGCTTGAAATTCTTTCTCCCTCTGCTCTCGCTCTCTTTCTCACTCTAAAATACATAAATAAATCTTTAAAAATAAAGAAAACCCCTTTAGTGAGGAGCAGCATAGAAGTAAATTTTCGACAGGAAAACCAGATAATATTCCGTGTCTATGAAGGGAACTAACTCCCAGTCCCCATGACATGTTTAAAGTTTTGTTCTTTTCCTTTTACTTTAGAAACAGTCATGTTTAGCATATGGTTTTAGTTCTCTTGGGTTCTAAAATTTTACTTTGTTATCTACAATCCTTCAGTAAAGTTGTAAAGGTAAGGTCATATGTCCAAAGTGTGGTTTTGGGGATTTTAAGGGAATCACCCTTCCTGTCAGAGAGCAGCATTTTATTGAGGAATTACGGGAAAGTGAGCAGAGGCTCAAGGCCAAGCTGAGAGGGAGAAGAGCTCTCTGGAGAAATGGCTGCAATTTGTACTGTACTTAATATAATCCTGCAATTTGTACTGCACTTAATATAATCCTCCTCCCCCTCCCCCTCCCAGATATATCTGAGGAAGATTACAGAAAGAAAAACATTCTTTTTTTTTTTTGTTTTTAAGAAAAACATTTTCTGGGGCACCTGGGTGGCTCTGCCAGTTAAGTGGATGCCTTTGGCTCCAGTCCTGACGAGCCCCCCCATCGGGCAACCTGTTCAGAGGGGAGCCTGCTTCTCCCTCTGCCTGCCGCTCCCCCTGCTTGTGCTTGCTCTCTCGCCCCTCCTCTCTGTGTCAAATAAATCAATAAAATCTTAAAAAAAAAAAAAAGAAAAACATTTTCCAACAAAATTATCCTAGCTAATTTTCAGGCAAGCATCTTATTATTTAAACCTTACATTTAAACCAAAAAACTTTGGTTTTGTTCACAAATGCTTGATTATCTCCCAGCATTTCACTTCACAATAAGGAATTAAATTTAATTTCAATAACGTTAAGAGTGGTCTGATGAAAAGTATGGGCAGCATAGGAAAAAGGTGAATTACCACACTCAACTAATAAGATAATAGTAGGGTTGAATCCACGGTAAATCGATAATCAATCCACGGTAAATCGATAATCTCCCTTTTCATTTTATGATGTGCTTCTGAAACATCACTTTGGAAAACTCATTAAAATAACAAAAGCTATGGCTATATAATAATGAGGACTACCTTGGAGTTTTAATGAATCAAACGTCTTGTTTTAAAACTATTTCATAGGAAGGTCATACTGATGGTATGAGATGTGATTCCACACAGAACAAAAATTGAAAGCCCCACAACTCATATTCTAGGTCAGCAGTTTTCAAACTTTTTGGTCTCAGGACTCTTTCACAATCTACTCAGAGTCCTACAGAACTTTAAAAAAATGTATATATCTATACATATTTACAGTAATACAATTAAGGTAGAGAAAAAATATTAGTTTATTAAAAATAACAAGCCCATGTTAACATAAACAATGCATTTTAATGAACATAGTTACGTTTTCAAATAAAAGAAATTAGTGAGTGGGGCACCTGGGTGGCTCAGCTTGTTAAGCCTCCGACTCTTCATTTTGGCTCAGGTCATGATCTCAGGGTGGTAAGATCGAGCCCCTCCATGGAGTCTGTGCTGGGTATGGAGCCTGCTTAGGATTCTCTCTCCCTCTCCTTCTGCCCCTCTCCCCTCCTGCTTGTGCTCGTTCTCTCTCAAAAAAAAAAAAAAAAAAAGTGAGATACATGGTACTATTTTAGATTTTTGCAAATCCCTTTAACGCCTGGCTTGATGGAAGATAGTTGAATTCTCTTATGCGCTTCTGTATTCAATCATGTGCATTGTTTGGGTTGAAGTATATAAACTTCACCCAGATGTATAGTTGGAAAGGCAGAAATATTTTAATAACTTTTCCAGATAATTATAGGTTTTTTTTTTAATAAGTGGTGTATCTTAAAAGTTAGTGGCACTGTAGAATCTGGAGGTATATCAATTAACTTTTTACATTCTATGAACATCTTTTGGTCTAACTTGTACTTTGAATGAATGTTTTACCCACACATGATTTTGTAACATCATGCATTGGTCATTTGAAAATACTGGTTCAATGAATTATGCAAATATTCTAATGTTGACACATTTTATTATATAAAATCCTTTTGTTACTAAATTTTCCTCTGCAGAAAAGTCTCAAGAATTGGTATGTTGTCAAGTTTACAGTGGTAGATATGTTTTCTAAAATTCTTAATTTTTATTTGAGAGCTTTTTTTTTTTTTTTTGGAGAGAGAGAGGGAGAGAGTGTCAGGGGTGGGGAGGGAAGGGGTCAGAAAGAGAGGGAGAATCTTAAGCAGGCATGGAGCCCAACGTGGGGCTCAATCTTATGTCCCTGAGCTGAAATCCACCGACTGAGCCACTCAAGCACCCTGGAAAGCTTTAATTTTAACACTGACAACAAATATTGCCAATGGTTTTCTTTAAAAGGGACAGGCTGATTTCATTTTCAAGAAAATGTCAAATACCCAAATGTGAAAGACTACAGTTTGGCAGTCATTCTTTCAAGCAAAATGTTAGTCCATGAAGAAATCTGCTAGTTAAAAAATATATGCACTCAGTGGTTGAACTTTAATAAATCTAACATTCACAATTTCATCAAGGACATTCTTAAGTGAAATAGATAATTTTATTTTTCTATTGCAAGTGCATGACAGTGAAGAATAATGACTGCTGGAATTTGGTGTCATTGCCTTTGATTTGTGCTAAGGCCCAATAAGTTTTTATTTACTACTGATTTTACACTATCAGGGCAAATTCCAGCAGTGAAAAAGCAAATAGCAGTATTCTTATAAAGAGCTTTGACCTTGCAGATACTTTGAAAGGCTCTTGGGGATACCCAGAAGGCTATGGACCACAATTTGAGAACTGCTGTGGTAGGTATTAGGATAAAGGCAGAATATAAAAACAATTAAGACATGATCCCTTTTCTCAAGTTCATCTTCTAATAGAGGAAACCTACAGAGATGATTACAACATGCTTTAGAGATACAAGAAATGGCAACAGTGGGGAGGACAGATTAAGGACAAGAATGGACAAGTACCAGGTAGCGTACTTTTGCAATGCAGACAAGCAACGATGAGATGTGACCTAAGGTAGCGGTGAATGGAGAAACGTTCAAGGTGGTGGAATTATAAGATGTGGTGATTGATTAAACATGAGGAATGAAGAAGGAGGGCAATGGGGTGGATAATGGTGCCCTTCCTACATGGGCATGACAGGAGGGGCAGGATGGCGGCGGGGTGGGAGGAGGTAAATTCAGTTCGGGATTTATTGACAGTGAGATGAATGTTAAGCATCTAGGGAGAGGTGTTGAGCAGGCAATTAGAGACTCCTGCTCCTTCCCTGAGGGCCCTGCAGTTTTCTCATCCATTGCTGTATTCCCAGTGCCTACCCAGCACAATACCTAGCTCTTCCCAGTGACTGAATAAATACATGACTATGGTCGGGGGCTCGTGAGAGTAATAGAGAAGGGGAATTTACTTTGGTGGTCATTATATATACATGCTTGTTTGAGGCCACAGGAGCGGGCGGCCAAGGGACTGTGGCTTAGGATTGTACTTCCGCTTTAAAATCTTTCCGGACAGAGTAAGTGCCGTTCTTGGGGAATGTTGTCTCAAATAGGTCGCGACGGCCTATAATATTCTAATTTATTTCGGAAAACCTGTTTCCGTACAGTCCAGACAGCAACCAAGTTTTGTTATCGTTACGCCGTACAGTAATACCTCTCAGACTGCTTTTAATTGGGGTGGCATGGGACTGACCTCATCGTCCCACCCTTCCGTGTGTAGGCAGCGTCTTTCACAATCTCCCTTTCCCCAGCCAAGCTGGCCGTCTCTCCACCGCCTCAAGACGCGGGCCCTAAGCAGCTCAGCGGCAGCGGGTCCGCACGCCCCGGAGAAGGGCGGTGCTTACGCCACCGGGGCGGTACTCAAGCCACCCGCCCGGCTGACGCCACATAAGCTGAGATCGCCTCACGCGCGAGCGGTGCAATCACAGAGCGCGCCGCAGCCACGGCCATCCCCTCGCAAACCTCGCTCTGAGATCCCTCCGCCTGCCCTTTCCCGGCGCCGTGTCGTGGTGCTCCGCACCCCGGGCACGCAAGCTCAGGTGGCCCGCGATTCTCTGGAGGGTGATCCCCTCTTAAGTTCTCGTTCTCCTCTGTCTCTGTACTACTCGTACCATAGGTGCAACCTGCTTTTTCAGGGCCTCTCTCCTGGCGTAGGGAGACCTCGGCCGTAGGTAGTCCTACGTAGGGCGTGGCCAGCATCTGGCCCCGCCCCGTTCTGTGACGCACAGGGTGGCGCGCGTGGGAGCCGAGAGTAGGGGGTGGGACTGGGTTTAGCAGGAGACCTGGAGGCCGGGGCCGCCTCCGGACGCCCATCTGCCGGTCTTACTCGCTCCATCGATTCGGAGGAGCGGCGGCGACCTCGGCCTCCAGCGTCTCCGGCGAACTGTAGTGGCTGCTGCGGCGGTCAGGATGATGTTGCTGGGTTTACTGCAGGCGGGCGGGTCGGTGCTGGGGCAGGCGATGGAGCGGGTGACCGGCGGCAACCTCCTATCCATGCTGCTAATCGCCTGCGCCTTCACGCTTGGCCTAGTCTACCTGTTCCGACTCGCAGTCGGCCACCTGGCCCCCCTGCCCGCCGGGGCGGTACGTGCATCCCGGGGGATCCGGGCGGGGGACGCAACGACTACTGTGGTCTGAGGGCTAGCGGGGCGACGACAAAGACGGCCAAAGGGCTAGCGGGAGTGGCTGCCGAAGCCGTGCTCAGCTGGGCGGCGGCGACGGGCGCACTGGGGACGGGGAGGTGGCCGCAGCTCTGCTGCTTGTGGTCGCGACTTCCTTGGCCTTTCTGCCTTGGTGTTGGGGGCCCTCCAGTCTGTAGCGATTCTGGAGGTGGCCGCGTGTCTAGTGGGGGTCGTGCTTGCCGCGGTCATGGTCGTAGTGACGGCTGTGCTGGCCGAGGTGCAGGTGCCCTAATGGCCGTGGCCAGACTGATGGCTGTGGCATTGAGCGCCCTGGTGGCCGTCATCTTGGGGGCTGCCATGGTGGGGCATCCTGTGGGCTGTAGTATCGCCCCTAATGGCGATTTATATCTGAAGAGGGGAGTGTTTGATAGGGTGGGAGTAACTGGATTGTCCCTTCTTATGATGCTAAGAAGTATCAGTTTCTTTAATTTAGTGTCTTTATTGACCACTAGCTTCATACTTACCTAATATATTTGATGAATGCATCCTTAACCAGCCAACACCAAGTAGCGTTTAAAACTGCCCTTTTACTGACTGTGGAATGTATGAACTATTGACCAAGTCGTTTTTAAAACCTGGGGCATCTAAAGTACCTTTTACAAGGAGTGTGAAGGAGTTCCTGCTAGTGCTGATCTACTCTCTCTAAAACCAGTGGATGAGGAGCGCTGGGTGTTTCAGTTGATTAAGCATCTGATCCTTGATCTCAGCTCAGGTCTTAATCTCAGGGTGGTAAATTTAAGCCTCATGCTGGGTGTGGAGCCTACTTAAAAAATAAAAAATAAAATCAGTGGATGAGATGTGTTCTCTTTCCTGATAAATGTAGCTTCTTAAACATTTCACATCTTTCTATACCTCAAGTTACTGTTTTGTCTTTTTCTATACCTTCTTTAGGCAAGATTCCGGAACTAAAATTGTGAGTGGTAGTGGTAAAGACAATATAAGTTTGATTTTCCTGTGGGTTTGTTTTTGTTTTTTTTTTTTTTTTGCGGTAATGTTTAAGAAAGTTGCTTAGAGCCCACCAATAAATAATATTGGACATATTCTGGACAGTGTTCAGCATGTGTAATTACAATACCTTTGTGTTTGTCTAGTCACTTATACCATGTTTTGAGTTTCTGTTCTTTTGACTATGGCCACTCTCCTAAGGTATTTGCAGTTTGGCTGTTTTTAAGTTACTGTTGATGCTTTATTTTTTGGTAACTTTTTAGTATTAGTGGTAAATTTCATTTGTTTGGTCAGGAAACTAAACTGGATATCTCAAAATGAAATGTGAATCCCCAATTTTTTGTTTTCTCTTACAGAAAAGTCCACCATACATTTTCTCTCCAGTTCCATTCCTTGGACATGCCATAGCATTTGGGAAAAGTCCAATTGAATTCCTAGAAAATGCATATGAGAAGGTAAGTGTTCCAAATAATTATAGGAAAAGAAATTAGTGCTTTTCAAACTTTTCTTTAAATGGCAGAATATTAAAAAATAGTGTAATCTTAGGCTCATCCTGAGTATAGGAAACCAGTTAAATTGGAGCTGCTCCTGTTTAAGAGCCGGAGGGGTCTTGGAGACCCTCGTAACTTCTCCTGTGTCCTGGGTGATCTCTGAGACATCACTAGCCTAAATTTTGTATTTACTGATCATAGTTAAGATTGATACTGATTGACCCTTCTTTTTCTTAACCAGTCACCTGTGGAATTTTCTAACTGCTCTACACATCTGTGACTTCAGTTTCACTAGGATGACCCACAGGATACCATGGCCACTCAGATCTCTGCCCCTCTTCTCTCTCATGAGCTTTCCGATACCAGTTCAGCCATTTATTCCACAGTCCCACTATGAATTGTTGTCACTCTTAACTCTTTCAGCTCCACAACAGAAATTTAGACACTTTAGTCTTAGACCACAACTTCTTTTCCTGGCTTGCCTCTTGCCTCCGCAGCAACTTCCATTAGAACCATTCTTTGACCTCATTAGATGTTCCAGTCCATTGTCCCATTTACTTTCTCCTGATCTATTAGCCTCCTTTCTTTCCTTCGTTTTCCAGTTTGGGACAGTGGTCCATCATTTCAGTTCTACTGTGGCCAATACCATACATTTCCTTGCCCTGGATCTTTTCATTTTGCATACCTGGTAAAACCCCAGACTTGGAGGGATTTTTCTTCTTCTTTTCTTCCTTGCACCAGATTAGTTCCTTCCTAATTTCATGATCCCCTACCCTGAACGAAATTTGAACACTGCTAAACAATTGTGTTATGCCAAAGTATGGTTGGCCTACTTTCCACTCCCCACAATGATGATTCAAACCTTCACTTTTCTAAACTTCTGAATCTTCCTATCTCTCTATCAAAGCAGATGACTTTGTCTCCTCTTTAGAGATGTAAAACCATCCAAAGAGAACTTTCTCATGCTCCCACTTTGAAACACGCATTTTCTTTTCTTCCTGTTACACTAATTATAAAACACTTACTTTGTGCCACTAACTTAGTGCTTTACATAGATTATCTGACTGAAGCTCCACAAAAATCCTTTCAGGTATATCTATTATATGGATGATAAAACTGAGAAACAGGTTATATAATTTGTTCTTGGGCTCACCACTGGCTAGTGGCCAAACCAGGATTTACACATGGTCTAATTTCCGAGTCTGTGCTTTTATTTATTTATTTATTTATTTATTATTTTTTATTTTTTAAAGATTTTATTTATTTATTTGACAGAGAGAGAGGTAGGGAGAGCAGGAACACAAGCAGGGGGAGTGGGAGAGGGAGAAGCAGGTCTCCTGCCGAGCAGGGAGCCCGATGCGGGACTCGATCCCAGGACCCTGGGATCATGACCTGAGCCGAAGGCAGACGCTTAACCATCTGAGCCACCCAGGCGCCCCTGAGTCTGTGCTTTTAATAATAATAATAGTAGTAGTAGTGATAATAAACACACGTAATATTTACTATGGCCAACACGCTCTTTTCTAATATATCATCTATATATACACACACATATCATGGATAAAATGATATCTATTTAATCTTGATGACAGTAGGTACTATTATTTCCATTTTATGGATGAGGGGAACTGAAGTACAGAGAGGTTAAGTGTTCTGACTGTACAGCCAAGGTCACAACAGCTAACAGGTGGAGGACCTGGGATGTGAACCTCGGCAGTCTGGCTCCCGAAGCCTGTGCTCTGAGCCTGCTAGGTGCTATCATGTTGATTTTATACTATTTTCCTTCCTATTGGAGGTTAAAGTCTCAATCCATCTTTGGTCTCAGGAACCTTATGCTATTATTTCTTCTTTCTGTAGTGACTTCCTTCAACTGGATCTTTTCCATTTTCTCTGAAAAATTTTCAAAAGTCACTCATTTAAAAAGACCAGACCTTCTCTTGACTTAGTCTCCTCTCACTTTCCTCCCCCGTTAGCAAGCTTTCTGTACGTACTCTCTCTGTTTCCACATGTCCTGTTTACTCTTCGGTCCACCCTAGTCTGCCTGTCAGCCCCTTCACTAATGAGCTCCGTGCCCTAGTTCAGTGAACTTGATCCTTCAGCTCTATTTGTCACTGGTAACTCCTCCCTCCTTAAATGTGGCTTCTCTCATCCCCCCTGCCCCCTATTTCTCTGACTGCTTTTTCTCTAACTCCGTAGTGGGCTTATGCCTGGGCATTTACTGTGGGGGTTCATGGGGGTCTGGTCCTTGGCCTTCAGTCTTTCCTAGGTGATCTCATCTCTCACATACAGCTTCAGTTATCAGCCATAGGTAGATGACACCCAAATTAATGTCTCCGGCCCAGGTCTCTTCTCCAGCTCCTGACCTGGATGTCCCAACTCCCACATGATTCTTCCTGTGTTGTCTCAGAGGCACCTGAAATCCAACATTTCTGAAGGCTAACCCTTGGTTTTTCTCTCTTCAATCCTGGTTGTCCTGTTTTCTCTTCTCACCATTTTTGTTTTCCAGAAGTCTAGGATTCCTTCTTGATACTTCCCCTCCCTCAATCCATTGTCGTCTGTAAATTCTCTCTCCAAAATCATTCAGTATCCATCTGCTTCGCTGTGCGCTGCCCCATCATTACCATGTGGCACGTTTTCATCCTCAGGTTCCTGCATGGGCTCTAACTGGTCCTCAGACATTCCCTCTGCTCCTGTTCCTCCCCCCTCCACATAGCAGCCAGAGGGATCTTTCTTTTAAAATATGCATCTATCAGTGTGTCCCTCCCATGCAGTTTAAAATCTTCTATGGCTTTCCATTGCTTATAAGGAAAAAACTTCCTGAATATGGCTTATGAGACTATGTATGGTCTAGGCCCTGCAGACTCAGCTCTCATCTTGTCCTCTCCCCCACCCCCCATTAGGGTCTCTGTGCCTGCTTGGCTGCCATGCTGACTCCTCCTCATCCTTCAAGCCTCAGCTCAGGTGGCCTTTCCTCTCTTTGGTCTCTCTTCTATCAGTTCTCTCCTCCCAGAGTTGCTTTCCTTCCTATAGTACTTGTCACATTTGCAATTTTACATCTGTTAATGTGGTTATTTGATTAAGTTGTATCTTTTTCAATAGACTAAGCTACATGAGTCAGAGACAGTATTTTTGTTCACAGTTGTATCACCCAGAGCCTGGTCTTTAATAATAGTCAGATAACTGCAAGGTAAAGCATTTAACACCCAGCCAGATTAACGAAAAATTAAAAATGAAATCATTTGGTGTTGGTGAGATAGTAGTAAACTGGGTAACTAAATAAACTTCTGATGTCTTTACATAGCAAATACAATAGGACAGGTCATAACCTTTGGTGATTCCTATAAATTTATCCTTAACCAAGGGGGGGGAATCTATATTCTCAGAGAAACTCATTGCAGAATTATCCATAATAAGTAAAGAACTGACATATCACCCATATGTCCAATAATGAAAGGATAATTATTAAAATTATGATGTCTATGTTAAAGGATAGAAAATATTTTCAGTATAAATTGAAAAAAGCAGAATAAAAAGTTTATATTTCACTTGCAGCTGGATGAAAATAATTATAAATTTGGACAAAGACTCGGTGAATAATTGCATTAAGGTTGATGCATGTTTTAATTTTCAGAAATGTTTTGTGAATTAATAAATTAGTGTTTCTTTTAGTGATACATATTTTTCAGTATCATCACTGTGGCTACTTTTCTTTCTTTAGTATGGACCTGTATTTAGTTTTACCATGGTGGGTAAGACATTTACTTACCTTCTGGGGAGTGATGCTGCTGCACTGCTTTTTAATAGTAAAAATGAGGACCTGAATGCAGAAGATGTCTACAGTCGTCTGACAACACCTGTGTTTGGGAAGGGAGTTGCATATGATGTGCCAAATCCAGTAGGTGACCCTGTTATCTTCAAGGAAAACGAATCTATAATATAATAGTTACAGCTAGTAGTGTAATATTGTACATTTAGAATGTAGAAATAGTTTATTCCTTGGTTCAGAAATCTGAAGAATGAGACGTTAAAAAGAAAAGGCCTGGGTAACTGACAAAGAATGGGTATTCTGTTTTATAGTTGCAGGCATGGGCTAAGCAATTTTAAAGGTTGCCTGTACAAAGAAAGAGAATCAATGATGAACTTAGGGCATTGATTCGAGTGGGTAACAAGAAAACCCCATTATTTCATCAAAAGGGCCTCCTATGCCTCTACTCCTGCCTGAAATTCTAGCATAAGAGCTCTTTTGAGCTAAAGATTGTTGGCTTTGGAAGTTTGTGTGATTTCTTCATTCGGTAAGTCAAATATTAGAGTGCTGCAAATTGATGCAAAACACAAATGAGATCATTGGCTCAATAGCTTGGTGTGGGCTCTGGCTGAGATCGTACCACACATGGCCTAGTATCCTAGTGCAGCAGTTAAGAGTTGACATCAAGTGTTATTTCTGGGGATGAGCGAGGGGTGGGGAATGAATGGCTCCTCAAGGCCAAAAGCAAGAACCCTAGAAAATCCCTCTGGTCAGATATATCTATTCATTTTTTCACACTGCTGATCAGATTCTTAAAATAGAAATGTCCCAATGGGTTAAAACCATTAGTGACTTAGTGTGAATTTATTTCAATCAGACTATATTGAATTCTCATGACACTTCTGGAAGGTAGTGAGAGGAATGATACTTGTTTAGGAATGGAATGGGAGAATATGTGAAGTGGGATTAAAAATGATATGGAAGCATAATGGAGCTTTGGGGGTTTGTGTTGGTATCTGGGTTGGGTTGGGATGCTAGAAGATAACAGGAAAGGGAAGCCCTGCGGTCCAGAGTGGGAAAATGCATATGTAGGAAGGAAACGCAGTGGGATTCCTAATTTATCATTAGTTGAGCGCCTGCATACCAGGTATCTCTACATGTTACTTCAGAGTAACTGAAGCTCTAAGTTTCCCATGTTTGGTATAGTTTTAAAAATCCTTTTACTATTTTTATTTTCAGTATCTTTTTTTAAAGTATTGTTTTCTTTGAGTGTTACATATAATAACCCAAATGAATCTTCTGATAAAACAAAATTGTGTTTTAATGCTTGGTATTATACTGTTAATATTTTGAAGGTTTTTTTGGAGCAGAAGAAAATGTTAAAAAGTGGCCTTAACATAGCCCACTTTAGACAGCACGTTTCTATAATTGAGAAAGAAACAAAGGAGTACTTTCAGAGTTGGGGAGAAAGTGGAGAAAAAAGTAAGCAAACTGTTTTGGTTTTGTATTTGTCCTAGTATTTCTACTTTTTTTATGACTAGAAAATGTAAGAATACGTGTGTGTGTGTAATGAAAAACCAACTGCAACATATGTAAAAACCACCTTAGATTTAATGGAAAGAATATGTTTTGATGACCATAGAGTTAAAAAGACCTGAGAGGAAGTGATTATTGCTGTTCACTTAGCAAAACCTCTAAAATGGGTTAATTAATGTGCATGTTATTCAGCTCATTTGTACAAATAATATAACTCATTAAATTTTGAAATAAACAATGTAAGACTTTTTGCAAGATCATTTTAAGACAATAAATAAAATAACTTTTTTTAACCCCCATGAGCAAGTTAAAGTCTAAATGATTTAATTTTGTATGTAATACCCTATCTATCTGATATTGTATGGGAATGATTTAGTTCATGAAAAAAGTAAATTTAAATACATAGGCTTAGTCTACCACCAACTATATGCTTTCTGGCATTATGTACAGAGTATAATGAGTATAACTTGATCTTCTTTGGATATTTATGTGAATCCATTCTTTATACTGGACAATTAAGTGTTCCTTTCAGAGAAAATTGCCCCCCCAAAGCAGGACGCAACATCTGTCTCATAGGGCATTAAGATCTCTGTGTGAGTCCCCATGTTCTGTGTGTGGTCTTCAGTTTCTGTAATCCACTGAAAGCTGATGTGATATTTTTAACCATACAAGAAGCTGATGTATAAATAAACTAAAATGCCAACTTAATAAATACAAGTGAGACAAAGTTACAGCATTGAGAACACCAGAATTTGCTAAACTTCATTGGCAAATCTAACTGGAAAGCCAAGTGACAATTGGAAGTTAATTTGGTAAACACAGAATTAAAGAACAAGGCATTAATTGGGTAATTTTTATGACTCTTAAATGTCATCCAAATGTGCTTCCCTGATGTATCTGTCTCTAGTTTGGGATATACCAGTTGATGATTAGCTACAGTTTTCTCTTATAGTCAAGACCTTAAATTTTAGTCCTGGTCTTCCTGCTTTTGACCTGTGAAATAATGCATTCTTCAGTTTTTGGACTGCTGTTCTTTGGGAAGCACCTCATATGCACTAAATCACCTTTTTGCTGCTTTTGTTATACTGCAACTTGGAACTCCTGTAACTCTATTCATTTTTTTTTTTTTTTTTTTTAGAGATTTTATTTATTTGTTTGACAGAGAAAGAGACAGTAAGACCGGGAACACAAGCAGGGGGAGTGGGAGAGGGAGAAGCAGACTCCCTGCTGAGCAGGGAGCTGGATGTGGGGCTTGATCCCAGGACCCTGGGATCATGACCTGAGCAAAGGCGGATGCTTAATGACTGAGCCACCCAGGCGCCCCTCTATTCATTTTTTAAAAATTTTCATTTTTAAGTAATCTCTATACCCAGTGTGGGGCTCGAACTCATAACCCCGAGATCAAGAATCGTGTGCTCTACCAACTGAGCCAGCCAGGTGCCCCTCACTATATTCATTTTTATCTTCAGTTTATCTTTTCCAGTTGAAGAGTCATGAGTGAGGTTTAGAGATGCCTTTGTGGCCTCTCTTTTGGCTGTCCAGAGGTGCTTCCCATCATGAGTTTCTTGCCTCTCTTTGTTGTGTCTATATGTCCCTAGGCTTTTTTTGATGATATGAACAGGATCTTGTTGGTTCTTGAGTTTTTATTCTCACCTTTCCTTTGTAATACTTTTATATCTCTAAGCAGAAAATTTCAAAAGAATATTTGGCAATAGTAATGGGAATGATCTTTTTTCCTCTAGATTTGTTTGAAGCTCTTTCTGAGCTCATAATTTTAACAGCTAGCCATTGTTTACATGGAAAGGAAATCAGAAGTCAACTCAATGAGAAAGTGGCACAACTGTATGCAGATCTGGATGGAGGTTTTAGCCACGCAGCCTGGCTACTGCCAGGCTGGCTCCCTTTGCCTAGTTTCAGGTATGGCTAAAGACCCTATACTTGCTTATTTAACTGTAGAATTGCTGTAGTGTTGGCATGCTTTGCATTAACCAAGATAAAAAAAACATAAAACAGACAAATTAGGGGAGATTATGAGCCCCAATTCTTCTATAAGAATTCAAGACAGGTTTTCTTTATATAGTAAGCTCATTTAAGCTCAGTTTCAGTTTATAAAAGAGGTCATTTGTTGTCTAGCTGTTCTAATTTAAAACCTACTTATCTCACATATTCCTTCTACTCAGGAAAGTCTCTGGACTCTACCTATAAGTGATACACCCCTCTAAATACTTATTTGAAAATATCTGTTTAATAGTCTATTGTGAAATTCCTTTGTTTTGAAGTAGTAAGTGCCTTTCTTTGCTTTTCTCTTTGTTTTCTTACAACTATACTGTGATTTCCTTAAGGTCGGGGACCATCTGATACAAAGAAATATTGTTTATAGGACTCGACATATAGTTTAGTGTCTTGCATATTAGTGGGCTTTCTGTACTTGTTGATTCATTTCCGTCCAGGTGAGAGATGGGGAGGAATTAAATTGGTACTCCCTTTTCCTTCTAGTTCTGCTACTTCTATATAGTTACAGGATAAAGAGGGGGAGAAAAAAGGAAAGCCAGGAGAGATTCTCTGGAATTCTCTGGAACTCGTAATACTTTATATTTGTCAGGAGCTTTGTAGTTTTCAAAATGCTTTCATCCGTAGCCTGTAGAGGGTTCTCCAGAAATGTGCAACAAGCCTGTTTTTTTTTTCTTTTTTGTTTTCTTTTTCCTTTTCTATCTCCTGGATGAAGTCAGGAATTTCTGACTTTTTTTCAGCCCAGTCTTTCTCTGCCTTACCCAAACCAAATGATTGAACCGAATTATTCCATTCCCTTTCTTAAAACAGGCCTTAAGTTTTCCTGGCACTGCTGTGTTCCTGTCAGTAAACGTCTTCTGCCCCCATGGTCTCAGCAGAGCAGCAGTTTTACTGGAAGCCCAGTTGTGAAGGGGTTAGGCGGTCAGATCGCCGGTTTGAAGTCACAGCTCCGCTCTTTCTGGCTGTGTGGAACTGTGCAGCTGCCTGCGAAGTGAGGCTAAGAGCATCTACCTCACAGGAAGTCTAAAAAGTGGCCAATTCACTTTCCAAAACACTTAGAGTATCTGTTACCTAGTGAGCACCCTCCTTTAAATGGAAGATTTGGGGACCTGAAGTTTGTTTTCTGCCTCTCCTAGTATTTTTGCCCCCTACAAAACCACGTTGTCTCAGAAGATGAAAAGTAGAATCAAATCCTGTATACTGTCGTCACGTTCTACATCCTAGATTTAGGTCATCCTAAATAAATCTTAGGTTTATTCAAATCCTGAATCCTATAGAAAAACCAGGATCACTCTCCATCTGCTTCAAGAATAAATTTGGTTAAAATTGGAATTTCGTTAATTTAAAAGAGTTAATTTAAAGTATTCTGCTTTCTGTTAAACTGGAAAATGATTCTAAAGGAATAATCACAAGTCTTGCTTTAGACCTTATGTTAGAACACAGGAAGTATGTTCAGAATCAGGGATATATATGTTAGGATGCTAGAAATTTCTAACAGTATAAGATTTTTTTATTTATTCATTTTTTATTATGTTAATCACCATACATTATTACATCATTAGTTTTGGATGTAGTGTTCCATGATTCATTGTTTGTGTATAACACCCAGTGCTCCGTGCAGTACGTGCCCTCTTTAATACCCATCACCAGGCCAACCCATCCCCCTACCTTCCCCCTCCCCTCTGGAACCCTCAGTTTGTTTCTCAGAGTCCATAGTCTCTCATGGTTTATCTAACTTTTTTTCTTTTGGTTCTGAGTTTTTTGTCAATTATTTGAGTCATTCTTAAGCTAGGTCCTGGTTATTTTCAAAATGAATCTGATGCCAGAAAGTATGACATTATGTTTTAGTCATTTTTGTCTTTGAATTGCAGACGCAGGGACAGAGCTCATCGAGAGATCAAGAACATTTTCTATAAAGCAATCCAGAAGCGCAGACAGTCAGAAGAAAAAGTTGATGACATTCTCCAAACTTTACTAGATTCTACTTACAAGTAAGAGCTGTTCGGATCACATGTTAAGCTGAAGCAGGCAATTTCACATTAAAACAAAGTTAAAAAATATGTCCAGTTAAAAAGTAGTGATGTTGACAAAATTAGTACCTTTGAGCCTTGGGCTTGTTAAATGGATGAGACACGAATTAATGGGATCCCATTGCCTTCCTGGAGCCCGAGGACCGCGCATGGGGAAATGCCTGCTGACAAACTGCAGCAACATCTTTTGTAATGAAAATCATACATTTCTTTGGTCTCTTTCCCCTCAGGGGAGAAAAATTCTCACTTGTGATGGGCAAATGCGAGAGACTATTAACACCTGAAAAGTTTAGTCACTACGACCCTTTATTTAAATGTGAAGGCATGAGATGGTCTGCCAAACTGTTAAATTTGTGTGTGATTCCTTCCTTAGGGATGGGCGCCCTCTGACAGATGACGAAGTAGCAGGCATGCTTATTGGACTGCTCTTGGCAGGCCAGCACACGTCCTCAACTACTAGTGCCTGGATGGGCTTCTTCTTGGCCAGAGACAAAACACTTCAAGAAAAATGTTATTTAGAACAGAAAACAGTCTGTGGAGAAAATCTGCCTCCTTTAACTTATGACCAGGTTTGTTGGATTTTTAGTTTCACTGCTGCTTTATGACTTTGAGTATCTAATGAGTGGCTAGTTTTTAAAGGGGACAATTTGATATATTCTATTTACTATAGATTAAATTGCTTAGCTTTTTTTAGAAAATTCCCCATAGCCCCCCTTGAAATGTCTTCATGTTGGATTCAGTGTGCTAGTATTTTGTTGAGGATTTTTGCATCTGTGTTCATGAGGGTATTGATGTGTAGTTGTGTCATGAGGTCTTTGACAGGTTTTGGTATACAGAGTAATAATGCTGGTCTCAAAGAATGAGTCTATAAGTGTTCCCTCTTTTATTTTTTTGGAAGAGTTTGTGAAGGATTGATATTCTTTCTTTCTTACATGTCTGGTCAGAATTCACCAGTGAAGCCACTGGAGTCTGTGCTTTGCTTTGTGGGAAGTTGTCTGATTACTTGTTATACATCTATTCCTACGTTCTGTTTCTTCTTGAGTCTTTGGTTTGTGTCCTTCTAGGCATTTGTCCATTTTCATCTAGGTTACCTAATCCGTTGGCTTACAATTGTTATAGTGTTCTCTTATAATCCTTTCTATTTCTGTAAGGCCAGCAGTGATGTCTCTTTCATTCCTGATTTTGTAACTTCTAAAGTAATAGCTTAATTGATATAT